CCCCCCCCCAAGTAAGAACCAAAACGCATTGCTGGGTAATGCAGAACTGCTGGGAAGAATTGAGTGCTTCCACAGATCTGCAGTTGGCATTGAATCCTTTCTGTGCTTTGCTATTCCCCTAGTTAAGGCATTCCGTTTAAGGAACAAACAAGGTGGTTTCTTTGTCATTTGCAAAATTTCATTAATTCATCACCAGGAAGAATGAAATTTAACCAAGGGTATTAAATGAATCTACTTATTAGTCTTTTAAATTAGTGATCTCTCCTGAGTGCTTCTGTTCTATAAGAAATAAATTTCAGATTATAGGCAATAATAATAACTGGGAAGGAAAGGATAACTTGAGTCAATCAAGCAAAGTACTAGCTCCTTAAGAAGAAAAATAGCAGGCAAAGATAGTAATTTTTAACATAAGGTTGTGGTGCTACTTCTATGCTCAGAATGGCTTCTTTATGAATAGTGGTGATTATTTAGTTTAAGTCTTTCTGGAAGCAAAGTTTAGGTATTTAATAGTACTGTACCAAACTATTATTGCTGAAGTATTTTTCATTTACTGGCTATTGCAAAGACAACAATATGAACAAAACATTCCATCAATGAAAGTTATTCATTGTTTGCTTTGTTAGTTCATTCAGTGAAAACCTACATGTCATTTTACTGGTCATCAAGACAATTGTCAATTTGTGAGATGGCATGCTGTTTACTTTTCACTAAAGTTCAATTTTAACCTAGCTTTGTTACACATGTGCTTTCAACAACTGCAAGGTGAAGGTGTGCTGGAAAGTAAGCACAGAGGTGCCATGGTTTGACCCCAGTAGGTACCTGAGCACCACACAGCTGCTCATTCACACCCCCCAGGCAAGGGGGAGGAGAATGGAAAAAAGGTGGTGGGTTGTGATAAAGAGAGTTTAATAGGATAACAAAGAGAATAATAATGTAAAAAACAAGTGATGCACAAATACAATTGCTCACCACATGCAGAAAAAAACAACACCCCATGTCCAGTCCGTTTCCAAGCAGCGATCTCACCTCCTGGCTCACTTCCCCAGTTATAGACAGAGGATGTTGTCACATAGTAGGGAGTATCCCTCTGGCCAGTCCGGGTCAGCTGTCCTGGCTGTGCTTCCTGTGCACCTGGCAGGGCACAGTGAGAAGCTGAAAAGACTTGGTGTAGACACTACAACTACCCCGCAACAGCTAAAAACCTCAGTGTGTTACCAACATTATTCTCATCCTGAATCCAAAACACAGCACTATACCAGCTACTAGAAAGAAAATTAACTCTATCCCAGCCAAAACCCCTTATTCTATATCATCTACATCATGTTCAGGTCCTATATTTCCCAATACATTCCAATTAATCACTATCACTTTTCCTGTCTTGATACGTAACACACAGATACCATTTCCTTAGTCTATGGGCCATCCCTCTAAAACGTCCATTGAGTTCATTTAGTCCATGACTTTGGGCTCCATCTGTCATAACAGTCTGTGAAGGCAGGGGAGACGGTGTGTGCTGTTGGATTGTTGCATGCTACATCCAGAGCTCGTAGCTGACATATCTGGCATGGTCCATGCTCACATCTGTGTCTGGAAGATGTCACTCTCCAGGAAGTTGCTGGACGCTTGTTGCTGAAGCCAGTTCTGGTTTTATCACCTCTGCACCTTGCTCATTTTCATCAAAGTTCATTCTTCTTTAGCCTGGATGACTCTTACTGTAATACCATTGTTATGGCATGTAACAGTCATAGTAGACATGCAGTATTATGTAGCAACTAACATCATACAATTTAAATCATTGATTATTCTCACCCAAAATCAGATCCCCTTAAGGTACACATCAGACTTCCCCATCCTTCCGCATCACCCACCAAGTGCACCCAGGTCTTTGAGCAAAAGCAATCCCACAGATGGGTTTGCCTTTCCCTGAAGCAGGGCTAACTCAGACTGTCTTCCCCAACATATTCATGTGCACTGTGGGGACTTTATCCCCTTCTACAGAATGTGCAGGGCCAGCTCGACTGGCAGACCCCCTAGTGTTAACTAATCAGGTGGCCTTTGCTAAATGTGTTCCCCAATGTTTGAAAGCCCCATTAGCAGTCCATTGTATCATTTGATGTTCCCAGAGGCTGGGGCATGATAGGGGATGTGATAAACCCACTCAATGCCATGCTCTTTGGCCCAGGTCTCTATGAGGTTTTTTGGAAAACGAGTCCCATTGTCTGACTCAATTCTTTCTGGGGTGCCATGTCACCACAGGACTTGCTTTTCAAGCCCCAGGATAGTGTTCTGGGCAGTGGCATGGGACACAGGATATGTTTCCAAACACCTGGTGGTTGCTTCCACCATTGTAAGCACATGGTGCTTACCCTGGCGAGTTTGTGGGAGTGTGATGTAATCAATCTGCCAGGCCTCCCCATATTTCTATTAAAGCCATTGTCCTCCATACAAGAGAGGCTTTAGCTGCTTGACTTGCTTGATTGCAGCACGTTTCACATTCATGGATAACCTGTGTGATAGTGTTCATGGTTAAATCCACGCCTCGATCACGGGCCCATCTATATGTTCCATCCCTTCCTTGATGGCCTGAAGTGTCATGGGCCCACTGAGCTATAAATAATTCACCCTTACGTTGACAGTCCAAATCCACCTGAGCCACTTCGGTCTTCACAGCCTGATCCACTGCTGGTTGTTTTGATATTCCTTAGTGGCCTGACTCTTGGGTAGGTGGGCATCTACATGACGTACCTTTACAACCAGCTTCTCTAGCTGGGCAGCAATATCTTGCCACAAAGGGGCCCCAGCCC